TCCACTCAACCTTCCATTAATATGCTTGGATACAGCACTCTGTGAACAGCCGGATTCTGTAGCAATGACCTTTTGTGACTTACCCTCCTTGTGGAAGGTGTCAATGACTGTCTTCTGGACAACTGTCAAGTCAGCAGTCTTCCCCATGATTGTGTAACTTACTGAACCAGACTGAGAGACCATTTAATGGGTCAGTAAACCTTTACAGGTGTTTTGTGTTAATTAGCTGATTAGAGTGTGACACCATGAGCCTACAATATTGAATTTTTTCACAATATTCTAATTTTCTGAGATACTGAATTCTGGGTTTTCACCAGCTTTAAGCCATAATCATTAAAAATTAAAAGAAATAAATGCTTGAAATATATCACTCTGTATACTGGAATCTATATAATATATGAGTTTCACTTTTTGAATTGAATTACTGGAATAAATTAATTTTTTGATAAAGTTCTAATTAATTGAGATGCACCTGTATATCCCATAGTTTGTAGATGCTATCATTTTCACGCAGCCCAACCACAATACAGTTATTGTGATTTTTTTTTTTTTACCAAAGATGTGTAGCAGAATACATTTGGACCAAAATTTATGAAGAAATTAGATTTTGAAAAAAAAAAACTGTGGATATGATTTATAGCAGAAAGTAAAAACTATTGCTTTTTTTTTAAAACTTTACTTTTTCATTTATACTGCAAAAAATGTAAAAAAAAAAAGAAACAGTGGCGATCATATACCATCAAAAGAAAGCTCTATTTGTTTGAAAACATTATATACATATTGTTTGGTTACAGCGTTGCATGACCACACAATTACCAGTTAAAATAGAGCTAAACAGGAAAAAAATGGCCTGGTCATGAAACCTTCCGGAGCTCAAGTGGTTAAGGAAGGGTGGGGGGGGAGGAACAGCTAGTGAAAGTTTATTTTTAGAAAGCATTGAGGTAAAAAAAAAAAAACCCTTTGAATTTTAAAGCCACTTTGAGTGCAGCACAACTTGGACTACTAACTGTTTGTGGTGATTTTTTTTTCCACTTCTTTCCTACCATTAGTTTGATTGTGTATCCATATTTATTTATATCCTTATAGTCCTTAACCTATTTTTATGCACTTTATGCAGATAGGTAATGTTTTTCTTTTCTTTTAGTTAAGTGAGGAGCACATTTTTACTGTATTCACTTAGTGCTTGCAGATAGATAGGTCAAATGCCGGCCATAGACGGTTCGAAAATCGGCCGATTTTTCATCCGAAAGATTAATTGGCCGATTTTGGCCCTGTTAGTGGGTTAATTGGTCAGCCGGTTTTCAGGTTTTTTGCACTTTTGGATTATCGGTCATGTTGGAAAATTTGTGGAAAACGACCGATTTTTGCGTCAATGATGGCCAAATCATACGATCATATAATATAACCTTTTTGTGATATAATAATACAATTAGACCCTAAAGTGTCATATAAAATCTCAAAAATCCCCAAAAATGTCCAAAAAAAGAAAAGTCCAAAGAAAAGTCCAGTGTTCAAAAAGGTCCCAGATTTCCAAACTTTTTCATCCAATAGGAAGGATTGAATCCTATTCATCCAGTAAGAACCTCAAAAATAAAAATAAATACTCTAGTGCATTACCTTTATATAAAGGAATAATCACTCAGTGCAAAAACTCAACTACTTAAAAATGTGCCAAAAACCTTTTATAATGTAAATTAATTATTTTATATAGTGCACATATGTACTACAAATTAAACTGTGAGCACTCTGTGATCACTGCAACACTGTGCAAACACCAAAAACCAGCACCAATAGTATTAAATACTATTACCCTCTGTATGTATATAATCAGCTTAACAGCATTATAGATCAGAGATCTTCCATTCTCTCTTCAAAGATATTTTTCCAAGGTCCTCAGAAAGACAAGAAGGGTCTCAGGACTCATATTCAATAGTATAGGGAAAATTTTAATAGCCACTTACATTTAAAATTTAGAATTTCCAGCTCCAGACATGGCTCCTATGCAAGTTCCAACAAACAAATGCAGAAAACCATGTGTGGATAACCAACAAAATGGCCACGGCAACACTTCCGGTTTGCGTACGTGCGTCTTGACGTCACTCCCCCCTAACGCGTTTCGTTACTTCCGGACTTCGTCTGAACGATCATACAATCGTTTTAACGGAAAAAAAAAAAAATGCTCATGAGCCGTGACCTGGAAGGAACAGATGTTTTGGTTGTTATATGGGGTGAACTTTATGATGTGGTCGGCCGATTTTTATAATCGTGGGTGGTTACGTCGGTTTAAAGAACAACTGATTTTTTGTTTATCGTTCGAAAAAAAATGCACGGTTTTCGAGCCATCTATGGCCTGCATAAGTCCAGGGGAAGCACAGAAAATGTATATAGTTATTGTGTCACTGTTGATACAACAAAACTCAATGTTTTTCTTTATTATTCAATATGAGTAAGTCAGCAATCATTGCAGTTATCACAATTCTGAAGTCTAGAAGTGTTCTTAATGAACTTACTAGCATAAAGCCTTCATGCATGTATGTTTCGCCTGCTGGTTTTACTCTACTCAAACTTTCAAGTCCCTTTGTGATTTCGGCCCTGCAAAAAAAGTTAGAAAAGTAGAATTCAAATTAGAAAAGTTATAGGTTTAATGTAATGATTATTTGCTATACATCTTTTCTAAATAATCTCCTAAACATGCAACATACAGCACTTTTGGAAATTGATCACTAGGAACCAGCATGTGATTGCAAACTGCGTGATTTCACCTTCTCTTGAGTTTTCATTAAAATGAGCCTCACATTTTACTATGCGGACTGCCTACACAAAATCTACTTAAATAAAAAAAATACTGACATAGTGATCAATGACTTGATAAAAGACAAAGGAACAGAAGATAGATATACCTCCACTTTCTGTTATGTAGACAGAGCAGAAACTGGGAGAATATTTCTCAAAGTGAGGGAAATTCTCTTAGCAGAAAGAGTACCCTCATTGGAAGATGTACCCTCCATATATCTAATGGTCTCCAGAACAAATAAAGATGGTGGCTCTACCCATCATAGAGAAAAATATTTCAGCTTTGGCTGGAGGTACACTTGCATTCATAACTATCAGTTGTAACTATCAGTACTAACACTTAGATGTACAAGAAAAATCATTATGTTATAGTAACAATTAGTATCTTTGGACAAGAAAAAAAAATAATAATTTGCACAGATATCGCTGCATCAGAAAATGAAGCTTCTGGCACACCATCTTTATGTAGTTGTATGCACAGATGTTTCTATGTATCAACTGAATTGCTAAATGTCTGGAAAAATATTTGTTGAAGCTGCCTCAAAATTGCCCGCCAACGTTAGGCTGGATTGATCTGGCAGACAATGGAATTTACTATGTATTAATTAAAGCATTTTATGCAGTGTACATATTTTGTGTTGCGTCTAGGAAATGCACTATTTTGACATGATTTTTTTTTCATAAAATGAACATAAATATAATTTGACCAGAAACTGTGAAAATTAATTAAAAAAAGCTACTGACAATTTGTTTTACTAAATAGTAGCAGTATGTCACATGATACAGTTCACTTATAAAAAATAAACACATTCTAAGCACACCAGCAAAGACTATTGTTGACTGAATAATGACAAAAACATTAAATTTGATGCAGCAAAGGGCAGCGCGTTGTAACCTATGGAAACCGAACTTTCACCAATCTAAAGGAAATGACAAAAAAATGTGATTGGTTCCTCTAGGTCACATGGTTTTCCTGCCATTGCATGAATACATGAGCCACAAAGTAACTTTTGAAATTAAATTTTAGACAATATATTTGGTTTACTAATGATGCAAAGTGAATGTTTATTAGACAGAGTCAAAGTTCAGTTTGGAAAGCAGGTTGAAGGTGTGTTCACTTTAAATACCAACTCATGTACAGGAAAAATAAAAATGGGGTTTTGTTTGACCATTTACTTTGCAAAGTGAGTATTTACTGTTAGAAAATCAGCCCAATAGTCTTGCAATTTAATAAGAAGCAGCAAAGCACAACCATTGCTTAGCACTGGAGAGTGGAAAGAAGAGTTATTATATGTAATGAATTAATGTGGCTGCCCCATTGCATATACATAATTACAATGTACACATAAAAAGGCAACTTTTTAAATGCTAAATAAACAGAAAACATTAAATATTCCCCTTAACCCCTTAATGCTGATGCCTCCTGGTCTTTAAGAGGTTTCTGATGCTGGTAGGCAGGGTGAGGTTTCTGATCACGTGATTGCAAATAGAAATCAGGAGCTTTCCGGTAGCTGCCTGTAACCGTGCCGGGAGCGTGCTCGCCACAGCTGTGTTTACATTCTGGTATGCATATATGCGGCCTCTAGACGTTAAGGCCCACCCTCCAAGAAACCGCATATATGCATACTGTCTGTGCGAAGAGGTTAAAGTGGTTGTAAACCTCAAACATGAAATATGAACAAAGCATATCCCTCTATAGGAGAGGTCTCCAGACTATGGCCCTCCAGCTGTTGAAGTACTACAAGTCTCATCATGCCTCTGCCTCTGGGAGTCTTGCATGTTGCTGTCAGAGTCTTGCAAGACCTCATGTGACTTGCAGTTCCTCAACACCTGGATGGCCATAGTTTGGAGAATCCTGCTCTATAGTATGCGCTTGTCTCAATTAAAAGCACTAAGTGTCATTTCTGTCTGCTGCATTTTCCGCTGTTATCAGCAAGAGTCACTTCTGACAAGTTTTCCTGACAGTAAGAGAAAAAATGGTGACAGGGGAGGGATCTCCAGCAGAGTGACAGCCTCAGCTCTGTTTCTGTGAGTTGTGAGCAGGGGGTGTGTCTCTTTTCTCCAATCAGCTCTCAGAATTCTCCTCACTGAGCTCTGCAGAGTGTAACTTCAGCTCTCCACCCCCTTTTTTTCCGAACTCCCTGAAAGCCTTGTAAATTTAACACTTCGAATGGCTGTAGAGAAGCGAAGCCTGCAGATGGACAGGTACAGGGGCGGACTGACAACTCATGGGGCCCCCGGGCAATAGGGGACCATGGGGCCCCTGTGTCCTTGCCCAAACTCAAAAAAGTCTATCAAAAAGGTACCAGGGGCATCTCATGGGGCCCCCTACTGACCCCGGGCCCTCGGGCAGTGCCCGAGTTTCCAAATGGTCAGTCCGCCCCTGGACAGGTACAACTTATGTAGGAGGATTTGTTTCATCTCCGTGTATCACCTGAGGCCACTTCACTGGGTATATGTAAGGGTTTACAACCACATTAAGCCTGAGGGGATTTTATGCATTTCCTGTATCCCAAGTTGTAAAGCAGAGTGTGTTTTGCGTAACATTAGCAAGAACTAGAATCTCTGCGCATGTGTGAATGATAGGAAGTGAAAATGAATCTCCCTAAACTGAGGGTAAATCTTATTTTTTTACATCTGTCACATGAACAAGTGTGTCATCATGTGTAACAGTATCCCAGTGATTCCTCTCACATATTTTTCGAATGAAAGCTGCAGAAATCTGATCTTCCCTTAAGCCGGCAATACATGGATCGAAATTCGGCTAGTTCACCAGGGACCGGGTGAATTCCAATCCACAGGGCAGCACAGTGGCTAAATGGTTAGCACTTCCACCTGGCTGTTCAAAGATTGTTGGTTTGAATCCCAGCCACAGTACCACCTGCCTGGAGTTTCCATGTTCTCCCTGTGCCTGTGTGGGTTTTTTCTAGGTACTCTGGTTTCCTCCCACACTCCAAAGACATGCTGGTAGGTTAATTGGATCGTGTCTAAATTGGCCCTAGTATGTGTATGAATGTGAGTTAGGGACCTTAGATTGTATGCCCCTTGAGGGTTAGGGACTGATGTGAATGTAAAATATATATGTAAAGTGCTGTGTAAATTGATAGCGCTATATAAGTACCTGTAATAAATAAACAAATAAATAAAATGTATGGGCAGAGAGGTTGTACAGAAGTTGATCCACTGATTGACTTCTGTAGAACTGCCCTGCTGGATTTTCTCCACCCAGAAGTCTCCCTGCTGTCAGAACACAATAGAGGCAGCATGAGTGATTCCCTCATTCACATCATGTGTGTGGATTGGTAAATTAAGCCATTTTGACAGGCTGAATAAAAAAAAAATGACTCATCTATGGGCTGCCTTACATTTTGCACTGGAGTCAACAGTCGCCAGGATAGAAAAATGAGAAGCAATTTTTTTTCGTTGTTCAAGAACAACTTGATAGAGGTTTTGATCATTCCACACTTTTGACTTTAATTTTTCAGTTTTGACTATTTTGCACTTTTTACACTGATCCTTTCTAGTTGCTGCAAAGAGTTTGAGAAAGTCATAAAATGAGAGATAATAACTTGTTGCTGAACATAAACACTTCTCCCATCTTATCACTGTACAATACTTTTCTATACAATACTATATTACAGGACATTAGTATAACTGATGAGATGCAATAAAACATTACTGCTAGTTCTGTGCATATTACTGAACATAATAGACCATACTTAACATGTCTGTCAATGTTATTATTTCGTCCTTTGAATTAAAATTAGAATTTATATGTGCAGCCCTTTGCTGGACACAGGGATCCCCCATTTTTAAATTAGATACCCTCTGTTTCTACGGGTCAACGATTTCCAAAGACAAGGATATGGGCATCTGAAGGTCTATTGATGAATTTCTGCCAGTATGCTGTCAGTTAAGCTGGCATATATGAAATGGATTTCTAAATATCTGTACTGAAGGCTGAACCCTAATCTGTATGTTAAAAAGTGGCACTGCACTTTCTTCACTAATACATTTATGACATCCAGGGGCGGACTGACCATTTGGAAACTCGGGCACTGCCCGAGGGCCCGGGGTCAGTAGGGGGCCCCATGAGAAGCCCTTGGTACCTTTTTTCATAGACTTTTTTGAGTTTGGGCAAGGACACAGGGGCCCCATAATCCACTATTGCCCAGGGGCCCCATGAGTTGTCAGTCCACCCCTCATGACATCTACTGTATACAAGGCTTTACCAATACATCTTTTGTGCTTTTTTACACGTGCAATCTTACCATTAGGGAAACTGGCAATGAAAGAAATGTGAGAGCCTCTTTTTGAAAATACCAAGTGTGTGGCTGACACTGGCTGCAGTGTTATACAAAATCAATGGCCTTGTACAAACATATGGCTCAAGATATAAAGAGTGAGGTTAGAGATTCCTTGTACAAGGCCAGTGGTCTGCATACTGGTTTAAAAAATTATTAGAAAAGCATTAAAGAATATGTTACCCCAACATTACATATTCCTGATATGTGTCTTTTGCATCATGTACTTGTGTTACAAAGTATCCTGTTCTCTTTGTATTGCTTACTTTGTGTGAAAAACCTGGTGATCCTGCCAGTCCCCATGTGTTCTTATTTAAAACTGATTATGCTAGGCCAGGGGCGGACTGACCATTTGGAAACTCGGGCACTGCCCGAGGGCCCAGGGTCAGTAGGGGGCCCCATGAGATGCCCCTGGTACCTTTTTCATAGGCTTTTTTGAGTTTGGGCAAGGACACAGGGGCCCCATTATCCCCTATTGCCCGGGGGCCCCATGAGTTGTCAGTCCGCCCCTGTGCTAGGCATAGAAGCACATCCACCCCAGCAAGGTCAGTTTTCTGGCTGTGCTGAGAGCACAGCCTGCCTGTCCTCCAAATATCAGACTTGTACTGACACTGTCCCTGTACAGCTATTCATCGGGAAGATCAGTGTACGCTGTTTCTCCTCCCCCACCTCTCTAAGCCCCTTATGCAGCTGAGAACAAAGATTATGTGATCACTTATAAAAAAAAAAAAGAAAAAAGGTATTTACAGTATAATGTTTTTAGATGTACGAAAATGTTTTCCCTTTTATTTCTATTTTAAAATGAATGGGTTGTTTTACAAGGCATTTGTTCACATATTCTTTAAATAAGTATGACAGCCACATGGGGAGGTAAGCAATGGCAGTTTACACATCTTCTCAATATAAAGCTGGACACACACTGTCAGAATACAATGTCCTGGTGAGGGGAATTCCTCCATCCACCCTGTTTGAGTCTACTGGGATGAACGGAAAAAAAAAAAGAAAACTAACAGTGCATGGCTAGCTAGTTTCTTTTAACCTCCCTGGCGGTATGATTATGTCAGGAATTTTGTACCAAAAGCGGTACCATTTTTTTGCATGGAAATTTGGTGTTATGTATTGTAGGCCTGCAATTCTTAGTAATTACTTACTTAAACATCCCGGGTATGATAAAATTTGAAACACGAAATCATAAATTATAATTTAATAAATAATCATAAAGAATAATAATATATAATAATAATACATTTAATTCAATAATATAATCAAACCAAAAACACTGAAATTTGAAATATAGCGCCAAGTTCGCACATCATTGAGCAAAGTCGCAAAATCGTTTGCAGTGTCTGATGACAAATTTCCCCACGAATCATTATCACTCAATTCTGCAAGTGGTTCTGATTTACTATCGCTGTTCTCTAGCCGGTCTAAAACCGATTTTGACATTAAGGGACGCTTTTTGGACGCCATGGACGTTTCTCAGTTTCCAGGCAGAAAGAACAGTCAAAATGCAGACAGGGCACAGGACAAAGCACTAGGGACAAAATATATGTGAAATGGTTTGAAACAGCAATGTTTTACTATGTAAAATTCGTTTAGAAAAAAAAATGACATTTTTTTTTAAATTTTCAAATTTCCCGCTTGTTCCGGCGCCCGTACTTCCCGACGTCACAGGGACCGGAACACAGAAGCCGGATGCCGGCATCGGCCAGAGGAGATGGCCGGGGACACTGCAGGGGACACACCGCGGGAGCGAAGGACAAGGTAAGCTCTGCAGGGAATCCCTATGCAGCGCCGCATGGTAAGCCCGAGTGTAGCTCGGGGTTACCGCTTTTGGTACTGAAATTTTACCCACTCGGGAATACTGCCAGGGAGGTTAAATGTCAGAGTATCTTTTAGATTAATTCTGAGGCATCAGCATAATGGATGGTCATCTATTGCTAACCAGTTATAAATGTCTTATAAATCTATTCACTCCTACTGTATATTACCATTTCTATGTGCATGCATGAATCAAGCCTCTATAAACTGTTAAAGCTGATTCTCACTTAGTCCCACAGAAACATTTCATAGACAAAAGGTGTTAAACATTTACAGCTGCTTGCTGGCAGTAGATGACATTTACATACTGAAACCGAAGTGCAACTGTTACAGTACTTCATGAAACATTAACAGATTTTAACAAAACAAATCCAATGTTCATTCGAGTTAAATTATATCCAGTGAGCTGGGATTAAAATTGAACCTTTCATGTAGACCACTGATACTTGTTTTATGAAAAATATATAAAATACATCATCATCTCAACCTACAATCATTACCTTTTGGTCGAAGATAAAACAAAAAAAAACACCGTAAACTGAACAAAAGCAATTTTTATTTTTCATGAATAGAATTTTAGTAAAAATAAGTTAGTAGTTGCTGATTTAGGCCCCATTCGCACTTGTGTATGCGGCCAACTTGGGTTTCTCATGGGAGACGGCAAACAGTTGAGCCATTTAAAGTAATGGGAGACTGACAGTGCCAGCAGTCACTTGTGGCTTTTTTGCATGTGATCGAACATGTAGTAATTACCTGCTGATGATTGGCCCTGGATGCAATCTGCCACTATTTAAGAAATTAAATGAGTCTGTTTCAGAGACTGTTGTTTGGAGTCCCATGAACATATAGATTTACAGAAATATCTCAGCAGTGCCTCTTTTTTACCCTGTATGGAACACATAATGTTTATAGGCAGGATGCACTAAAAATAGGTCTGACACATTCATGGTGCATCCTGCATGAGAGTTTGCATGAACATGAGTGTACTCATCCTGTGGTAGCCATAAGTATATTTTAGAACCTATCAAGGCTATTATTGTACTCTTCACAAGAAAGATTTCTACTTTCCCACAGCTGGTATTGTAAAACTACTTCTTAAAATCTGTTTTAAAGTTCTGTCAATTTACACAGTGCTTTACAAACATATAAACATATATTACATTCACATCAGTCCCTAACCCTCAAGGAGTGTACAATCTAACGTTCCTAACTCACATACATACACTAGGGCCAATTTAGACAGGAGCCAATTCACCTACCAGCATATCTTTGGAGTA